AAAAAAAAAAAAAATACTTCCGCTTAGTTTTATAAACAAAATATGAATTTATTCATATATTAATTCAGAGTTTGTCAGTGCTTAATTCATATCATAATATCTTTTGCAGAATCAAGTCATGAATGAATCCATTTCAGAGCTACAAAAGAAGGTAATTAGCTTACGTTGTTCTATAGCATTATATTCATCATCAAGTTATTTCTTTATTGGAAATTACTTCAAATAATATTTACAGGTTCTTACATAAGTAATACTACCTCCGTTTTAAATTATATGTCGTTTTGACTTTTTTTATTCATCTATTTTGCTATGTATCTAGACATTATTAATGTCTAAATATATAGCAAAATGGATGAATCAAAAAAGTCAAAACGACATATAATTTAAAATGGAGGGAGTACAATGGAGTAAGGTGGGACCCATACTTATGTAGTTATGTGTAGAAAGTGAGTCTTTTATAAGTATCCTCGAAAATGTTCGTTTACTACCTTATTATACTGCATAATGACTGTCTCTGCAGGACAAGGCATTGCAGGAGCAAAACAACATCTTCAAAAAGAAGGTACTATTATGTAGTATCTAACTCCATTACACACATGTTCGTTGTGCCCATGATGCTAAATGGAGTAACATTTAGGTCATGAATTGAGAAAAAAAATTTTTTAGGCCCCGATTTGATATTTTATCTATCTTTCGGGCCTTGTATCAAAAAAATTCTTAAATAATATTTACATTTGGCTACCCAAGTGTTTGGATGAGATGGTTTGGGTCTCTTCCAGCTTAACCAGTGGTCTCGTGTTCGAGCCCTGAGAATGCAGCAGTGTTAAAAACTCTTGAAGGAGAGCTTTGCCGCCCTTGTGGTCCTACCCGGCTCGATTTCGGATTAGTCGGTTCCCCTGTGGACCGGAAACCGAAAGGTCCTTGTACCAAAAAAAAAAAAAAAAAATATTTACATTTGGCTTATTGCCTAAGTTGCACTTGAATGCAATGCTCATGCTTTCAAACTTATGCCAAACTCACTACAAAAAAATTGTTATATTCCAATGTAAAATCCTGTGGTAATATATTACGATGAAAATTACAACGAGAATATTCCGTTGGAATGTGTTTTTCATTTGAATTTTAGATGAAATTTGATGATTCCAACGGCTTTTCGAATTTTTGTTAGAATATGAAATTTTCGTTGGAATTTTTATTTCGATTCCATTGGAAAATCTACAGTTGGAATCGTCAAAATCCAACGAAATTCCAATGGAAAACTCATTCCAACGGCATATTTTTGTTAGAATTTCCTTTGGAATCAATTGAAAAATTTCAACGAAAATAACAGCATTAAAATATCTGTTGGAATTGTCGTTGGAAAATCTGTTATATAATTTCGTTGGAATTATGTGCATGTATTCAGTTTTTGAAGGCGATTAATTGTGCAGATAAAAGAGAGTGAAAAGGAATTAGCTCAACAAACTCATCAGGACATGAATTTCTCTTCCGTCAATCGAAGGTAATCTTTGAGCTCCTTATATGTAAGGTAAATAAATATAACAAGCCTTTATGAGGATTTTATAATTTAAATTTATTAAAATACAACTTTCACTTTTCAAAGGAAATCTTACTCCCTCAATGTGAGAATATCAGTTTTTGACTTTTTTTTTTTTATGAATTATACTATATTGGCTGTTTTTCTCTAGTCATCTATTTGTAAGATTCATATTTTAGGGCACATATACCCATTCCCCTTACCCTATATATAATTCTCGAATACGTTGAGCCTTCGTGACTGCTTCTGATGCTTCAAAATTCTACTTGGCGAAGAATCATGCTTCTTGATTAGATTTGGACAAATAATATTGATATATTAATAATTAATAATCTAGGTTCGGGCATTTCATAAATATTATTTAGCTAACTTAGGTATTTTAATATCACTTGTACTAATATAACCTTTTAATTGTTTTTAATTTTACATAGTGAGGCACTAAGTGACTAATATATCTCTGACTTTTGATTTGTTTCCTACAACTAGCTATTGAATTGTAAATGTATTTTAAAAGTTGATAATTTTTGTATTTTTTATCGGGTTTTACATATATAATATATCAAATTAATCATCTTTTGATGATCTTCGATTTGACATTCATATTGTATATATGAAATAAATAAATTATATTTATCTTTATAATAATAAAAAATAATTATATTTACTAAAATTCATTAGAAAAATAAAATTATTTCTCAATTGATATATTTATGTTTAATGTAGTTATATGTGGTAAGTTAAAAAAATTATTATAATATAACACAAGTAAGTCGCACAAATAAAAACTGTCATACTAAATATATAATAATATATATTTTTATAAAAGACAAACACCCGTGTAATACACGGGCGTTGTACTAGATTATAAATATTTTGGGAAAAACTAGATATTCATATAACCATTTAGAACTGAAATTGCTCCAATTAGAATTCATTATTGCATATATTATTCCATATTTTATGGGAGAGGAAAACACACAAACCTGAAAACACACATAAACTTTCAATAGTAAAGTAGAACTCTAAACAAATAAACGTAGAAGACAACAAGAAACACGTTGTAATTGTAGTAGTAATCAGTGACGGATCTAGAAATTTCGCTCAGGGAAGCCCGATTTTAAATATTACTAACCAGTTTGTAGTTTACGTTTAAATGCTCATTTCATATAAAAATGCGTTTACTTGTAAATATAGATATCGATTTACGTACCCTCAAGTTTTTTGAAAATTTAGAATTCGTACCACCTTCGAACTTTTAAAAAAATAAACAAAAAAAAGATATTTCATGTTTTATAATTTAAGTTTAAGATCTATAGTTTATGATTGTTTTTTGGTCAAAAATATGATTTAAATTGAACTTTTTCATCACATTGCATAGTATTTTTGTTAATGATAGCTTATGAAATGACCCATTTTGTAAGAGAAAAATAAATAAAGTTAAAAATATAAGATTACACAAAAGAATAAAGTAAGAAACTAACATTCAGAAATCGAACAATCCAACTAAATTATTAAATTGATTTAAATTTTAGAGTCTCAAAAAGTAAATCATTATACGTATTTTTAAAATTTTATCTTGAAATGTAAAATATAAGGATTGTTATATATTTTACAACAAATAAATAATATTATTAGTTTAAATTAAAATAGCATTGAAAATAAGTAAATTATTTACATATTCTAAATACTTTTTGCAAGATATTTTAATGTTGTTATTTCCGTTGGAATTTTTCCAATTGATTTCAACGAAAATTCCAACAAAAATATTCCGTTGAAATGAGTTTTTCATTGGAATTTCTTTCCGTTGGATTTTGACCATTCGAACGGTGGATTTTCCAACGGGGATGGAAATAAAAATTCCAACGGAAATCGCATATTTCGACTGAAATTCCTACAGTAAAAAGCCGTTGGAAATATAGGCGTTGGAATCATCCAATTCCATCTAAAATTGAAATGAAAAATACATTCCAATGAAATATTTCTGCTAGAATTTCCGCTAGAACCATTTCAACTGAAGCTATATCGTTACAATATCCGTTGGAATATAACATTCTTTTGTAGTGATAGTTACAATGGTTATGCCTATTTATAGTAGTAATAACAACAATAATAAATGCATACTTATATTTTATATATATGCAGTGAAATATACATACCTTCTGGAATGAAAAATGGAGAAAGGGAAGCCACCTCACTTCAAAATCAGCCATGTAATTTAGCAACACCCACGTGGATGTTACACAATGCAGATGGCTAAAAGGAAGAGGGATATGAATTAGTAAGATACATATATATGTGTTGTAAGTATGCCTTCTTTTAATATCAGTTGTCATGAATATACACTCTCGCTATGTTATGATCATTTATGTATGAAAAACCCCATACACTATAAAACAAGGTAGCTCATGTATGGCACTATGAAGTTCACCTTTTAAAAGGATAAACATAGAAACTATTCTTCTTATGTTAATTATGGTTGCATTTCAATTATTTCTCCAAGGTATAAAACTATTTACTCATTACATTATTTATGATATATTACTAGACATTGTTGTTAGTGTGTATATTGAAAAAATTTGACTTTGAATGTTATTTACACCGTTTTTGATGAATGAGAATTGTGTTTGATTAAACAAATTTCATGTTCTATTGTTTTGCATTTAGATAAAATAGTTCATCACGGATGATAGAAGATCATTTTATCTGTCACTTGCGAGAAAAGAATGATTTATTTATAACCTAGATGGAAATGACCGAACGATCAGAACGGTTGTAGTGCTAACAGTACATATGGTGTCGACTGATTAGTTACGCTAGTACATTCGTGTATTGAACAAGATCTCAGAGAGGAGCAGTTCGTTTTATACTAATCGTTGTAAGCGAATTAGGCCTTAGTTAATTACTGCATTGTCTTAACCCGTAAGTTATAAACAGTCATGTGCATACAGTAGCTGCTACTTTGATTCCCAAAAGTGAGATCCATTCTGTTGGGTCAATAGTCTTCGTGTTTTGGGTAGTAGTGTTATATGGCCTGCAGTTAGAATAGTTACGGCAACCATATGCGTTAGTTTGATGATGTCACTAAAATGAGCTCATGAAGGATTGTTATATTAAACCCTGCAGGTGGATTAAATTTCGACATAATAATAAAAATGATTTGAGTAGTACTAGCTTCAGTTCAAGATGTCGATTAATTCTTGATTGTCAGTAGTCGATCTTAAGGTCAACAGTTAGGCCTAAGATTTAAGAAGCCCACATCATCCCCTGGTGTAGCCCTATAAGTACAGAATGTATCTCTTGGGATTGGGAGAGAACTCACGCATAATACATGCATGAGTCTGTCGCCTAGTTCCTGAGAGATCGTCTCTGAGATTCGTTGCTCCACCGAGACAACTGGAGAGGTGTCGTATCATACAGCAGAAGTCTCTAAGGTTGACGAGGCCCCTGCGAGCCACTGCACGCGATCGAGCCCAACACGTAAACATCGAGAAGCAGTCCTGGAGACCCCGCGTGCACGACCCGATCGCTGCTCCGGCACGCCGCAAACACGCGACAATCCCGTGCGACACACAACCAGTACGCACGCTTCCCTCTCCCGCACGCGACACAAGCAGCCCAGCCCTCCCAAACTCGTGGCGTTCCCAACGACTGAGACAATCGAACGAGGTGATTTCCAACGAGTGGAAAATCAGACGATTTCCATCAACGAAAATCTACAACATCTTAGAGTCTGCAATTTTTAAGTCATAAGTGTTCAACTTTAAACCTTTAGTATCTGTTGTGCATATATTTATTGTCGTTGTTTAATTCGTAACTTACACATAGCAATAACCTTTATCGGTCTCATCAAGTGGTGTCAGTCTATCAAAGCCCATAACTAATTCATTTTGTGCAAAGTTCAAATTTTACGGCTTACATGACAACATGTGTTCAAGCGCAACCATAAATTGAATTATATCCACATCACTCGGTTTTGCAAGAATAAGTTTAATTCACTGTTATGGCCGTATGTGTTTGATTTGTTGTTGCTTGGTTTTTAAAGCCTCTGACATGTCGAAGAATATGGTTGAACACTAGATAGTTTTAATTATTTTGTAGACGAACATGTAAACCAATTTGTGGGTCTAAGATTGAAATATGTAATTTGTAAATTTATAGTTTGATCGTGATCGTGTGCCGAACCAATCCGTCGGACCTTGACGTCCAGGTCGGCCTCGAACCACCATGAGCTCGCGACCGGCCGCACAAGTGTCCGCGGGCGCCCGACAGCGTGCTGTCGAAAAGAATCTACCATTCCCTGGAGGATGTGAAAGCAACGATGAAGAATGTCGTTTAAGCAGTACCTCACCATATTTCAACGTCAAATCTAGCCAAGCACCATAGATCCTTCTTCCGCGCCTCTTGAACCACCAATTGTTACCATAGATCCTTCCTCCACACCTCTTGAACCACCAATTGTCGTTGATCCGTCAACAACTAGCAATAATCATAGGGCACATAGTTAATAGGTTATACTATAATCAATGTATCTTTGTGTAATGAATTTGGTGAACTTGTGCATTCTTTTTGTGTTTAGTCTTCTACTTGTTTATATTCCCATTATTGAATTAAGTACTACCTCCCTTTAATACGACAATATATCAGATCGATTAAAAATGTGCTCACAATATTAGCATGAAGAATACTTACCTAACGAAGTAAACGGTTAGTTGTCTACTTAAGTCCAGATTTTAACGCCTCACAAACACTCCACTCGCCTGATTGAGACAAGTTATTTTGAACAAATAAACATTTAGTAACTGACTTGACATGTTCAAAACCAGATATTAACACCTTAAACAACCAAAACTCGAACAATCTGGTACGAGTTGTTCAACAATGCGTGACTAGCCCAGCTTGCGCTATTCAAAGCCAGATTTGAACACATTGAAACACCCAACAATCACCCGAGCCAATGTGAGCTACTGAAAATCGGTAATACACTTATGTATAGACTTAATAACCATAATAATTGACAAGCTGCGCGAAAAATACACACAATACACAGTTTAGAGAGGCATAAAACATATTAAGCCAAAACTAGAATGGCGGGATGGTGCGTAAGGCATACCACGACAAGTTTACGTGTCCATGTTCATTCTCGTGTAGCGTTCACCTTTTCAGCAGTACACAAAAGAAGCAAGCTGCACTAAAGAAAAAGAACATTCCAAGCTTTCACGCGAAACCAACAACAAATTCAACTTCAATAGTTACTTGCCCGGGTCAGAAAATGGGAATCGAGACATGATTGTGGTTGATTAAGGCCCTAAAGTTAAAAGGGGCTCTCGAGTGGGCACTCTTTCATGCTGTTCAAAAATTAGAAAAGTCACCATCGCAATTTTGTCAAATCACAGCCAAAGAAGATGAAAAAGAAAGTCATCTTTTGAAACATTAACATCCCCCTGAGTTGTTGTATATTCCAAATGTTGATACAATTTCTGAAATGAAAACAAATTCAATTTATGTGTTGGAAAGATAGATAATTTTCTCAGCGGAATTAAATGAAACCTAAAGGGTATTTTTCGCTTTTAAACTTTTATTTAACGCTTAAAGTCAAATACCATGAGGTATGTGCACGCTGAGATAGCCTTCCAACAAGGAAGAAGCCGCAGTTGTTGTTGAAGCATCAAAAGACCCATAACAGGGTTATATAAACTGTTGCATCCAAAATGCTAACTGCACGATGATAGCCAGGAGTAGGGAAAAGAATAAAGAATATGATCACTACAAAACATCACAAGTGTTAGAAATTCTGTTTTTTCGATTTTCATTATGGATGATTTCAACTATAAAAATTACAAGGAGGCTGGGGTCTGGGGGGTCAGTTGTACGCAGACCTTACCCTTGTAATTATACAAGGAGGCTGTTTCCGTAGCGACCCAAGGTGCATTGCGTCGTTTGAAATATTTTTTTTTTCTAGAAACTTCACTAATAGAAGAAGCACTAGAATTTAATTGAGCCATTTTGATCTAGTCCATTATTAGCACTATGCCAGGAAAATTGTCAACAATGACTCTTCCAGCTCTATTTGCAATGGACAAAAATATTATACAACATAGTAATCACAAAATCCTTGATTAACAACAAGAACTTTTGGCTCCTGGCCTAGGAATATTATAATTAGATTCTTATCATTAAAAAGAAAAAGGAAAAAGGAGTGGAAAAGACCTTCCATGACTGTATGGGTGTTGAATCAGAGAGCGAGCATGCAGTGTCTTGTGATGACGTACAAGAAAACGAATGGTATGGAACACCAAAGACAATGCCATGGAAATATAACGCTGCATTTTTGTGGCACAAAAATAAAAAATAAACAATTCAATTTGTAAACTGTAGAAGGAATTGAAATTTTATCAAACTTTCACCTCATCTCAAGCTTAGGGTGTCGCATTCTATTGAGCCGAGCAGCTGAAAATGTCAAGTAAATCAATATTAGGACAGGGTAGAATGTAAAGAGTTTTTAAAATAAACCTTGCTCTAAGAACGAGAAATATAGTAACATAAGAAGGTTACCATGTAATATGCAGTGCTTTCCTAAGTGTCATTTCCCTAACAAACAGAATTTCAAAGCCAAAAATTGAAATATAAAATGGAAATTATGCCATCAGAATAACAACTCGCCAAAGGTAATGTTAAGATAACTCTATATCAGTATGATCCCAAACATTACCCAATATATACTACTAAAGTTTCTTGATACAATGACCTTATAAAATGAATGAGAGAGAGAGAGAGAGAGAGAGAGAGAGAGAGAGAGAGAGAGAGAGAGAGAGAAAGAAAGAGAGATACAGAGAGAGAGAGAGAGAGAGAGGAAGGGACAGAGAGAGAGAGAGAGAGAGAAGGGCGGGAGAGAGAGAGATACACCAACAATAGAGAACAAATCCAATTTACACAACAAACGATACTTGTTCGGAGCACTGTACACGTAACACAATTCTTACTTGTTCATCTACAACCATCATAATCATCTATGCTTGCCTCAGAATAAGCAAATCTATAAAGATGTAAACAAGATATGAGCAGAAGCCTGTTTGCAATTTGATAAAGAATTAAAATACAATTGATTTGCACTTTGTGAGCCCGAATTCGATACCCACTAAAGCTACTCTGAACTTCCATGACTGCCACGCCACAACTTCCTGTTTCCATGACTTCACTTCAACGGGTGCCATTCACCCCATTGTTCTCTTGAGCACAGAACAATGTTGATATATATGTGTTGTTCTAACAATACGGAACCCCATATTGATTAGTATCAACATCGATAGACTAACAATACGAGTAGCCAGATTGAGTAGAAAGCTTTCTGCTAGCCAAAACTATAATGAGGTCTGTAAAGTACTTTGTACAGTTGATCATACCCAGCAAGCACTCCAGCCCCAGCTACACCAAGCAGCATGTTAGCCGTGACCCCTCTAAACAGAGCTCTAAAACCTTCTACTCGAATGATTTCAAGGAATGCGTGCATTGCACTGTCGTACTTCACGGGCTGTCCAGATGTGAGCATCATTCTTCGACGTAGGGTGTCAAATGGGTAGGCACATACCCCAGAAACAGTGGTCACACTCCAGCCCAAGAAAAAGCTAGCAATAAAACTATCCTGCACATTTGAAACATTGTTCAGGCGTATTCTAGGATGCGTATAAAGACCACTACAAGCAAAAACGAACACAAGAAAAAGTTATTATTCATTCTATAAGCAGGATACATGATTGCTGTGCCTGGTCCTTACTAAAATCTAATCTAATACTCAAAATTCAACAAAATACTAATTTCATAACAGTTTTAGAAGCAGCAGAACACCAGATGCCATATAAAACACAAGATACAACAAAATCAATCAAAGACTATATAGCGATTTTTGCTTACCTGAAGAGGCCCGACCAAGGCAATGGGTTTCACGGTGTCATAGATACCAAAGTACATTCCACGGTAAAGAGTAATTCCCAATATTGAAACCCCAAAACCTCGATAGAGACCCGCAATTCCATCACTGGACAATGTCTTACGGTAAACATCTATTAGCCCATTAAACTGCCGTTTACCACTGATATGACATTTTTTGGCATCTGTGCCCAAACGAGTTCGTGCATAATCCAAATGATATAGAAACAAAGAAGTGGTAGCTCCTGCAGCACTTCCGGAAGCAACATTTCCAGCAAACCACTTCAAGTACCCATCTTTCTCTTTAGAACATCCAAACAGGCTTTTGAAGTAACCTTTAAATGCAAAATTAAATGCCTGTAGGTGGAAAAAGAATATCGTAACGTACCAATATAACAATATCTCGTTTCGGACAGCATTAGATATTATAAAACAGCTCTCCACATCTAGTAAAGAGATTTCTAGTTTCAATATAGGTCTAAACATAGATCTGACTCTTTAGGAGGACAATGTCATTAGATACTATGGAGAAGAAGGAAATTAATATGTTACAGACATCTTTGATATCAAGTAAGTTAAAAAAACTATAGTGATATTGTATATAAATGATGTACTATGTGATCTAAGCAAAGATCATTGCCTTTTGCATTAACATTTAAACATTAAAAAATATATATATATTAAAAAAAATAAAAAATAAATATATAAAATAAAGCGAGGAAGTTCGTCATTCAGATTCGTATTTAAACATACTACAACAGTGGGCCATAATCCATATTATCTTCTGTTATCACAATTATTAATACGAAAAAAAAAATAAACAAATAACCACTTAAAAGAACTACTTCTAATTCAGGGATGGTTCTTTTTATAGCAACAAAAAGCGATAGAAGATTTCAATGAACAAAACGTGCTACAGCGAGGGAACATCAAGTAATGCATTAACAGCTATTTCAGGACTAGTGACATTTAAGTTTCTGGGTACCCAAGAAAAGTGTAATAAAATAATTTATGTATAGTTCTTAATGATTCAGACGATACAAAGGGTCCTTTTATACACAACTGAGAGAACAACCATAATAATCAAATCCCTTAATTCTCGATATTATATTCTTCTTCCTAAAATAATCCATTCTACATATATACACAATACACACTAACAAAAAGTCAAAAAGCAATACAAGTGTTCAAACATGGTGGAGAGGGCAAAAGACATGCAAATCCCCATGTACTGCCTTAATACAAATGAAACTTGGACGTATATAAAGTGTTATTTTGTTATCACGTCAACTAAACATGCCAGACACACATTAAGGGTGATTGTCTAACAACTGAAAGAGGGCAATTTTACAAAATCTAAAGCTCAGACAGACACACCATACCATCAGGTAGATCATCTGAGTAAGCCCATAGAAATGGTGTCGCATTAGAAAATAACAATAAGGATGATGAGGAGGAGGACAAGGCAACTGACTACATAGATGATACATCCTTTAGGAAGCATAACCAAACCAAAAAGAAAGTTGGTTCAAGATCAGAGCAAATCGAGATTTTGATATAAATTAACAATTACGAATCCGTTTTCTTTGTTGGTTCATTCAATTGATATGTCGAGATTTCTTTCTGTTCTTAGTTGGTCTTTTAGCCATTTGATCTTTTTTCCTTTTCCTAATTCACTGCTTCTGACATACATAAAAAGCCATCTCTAAGACAAGAAAAAATTAAGACAAAGAGGAAAGGGGAAAAAAAACCCATAATGTTTCCACTTTGTTATCTCAGTAAACTTCATCTTCTTGAATTACAGACAATCTCTATCAATTCCAAAAACCCTTGAAAGAGCATAACAAGAACTTTAAAGAACAGAACATATAACTAGGCAAGTACAACATAATCCAATTAGCCCACAAGAACAAGATTAAATATTCAAAGCTCCAAATAAATCTGAAAAATGTAATGATGGGGCTAACCTGAGTAGGAAAATATCGAATAACATTGGCCTGGTTACCCCTCCAGAAGGACAAAGTCCCCTCTTCCCGGAAGACCCGCCGGAAACAATCACCGACGCCGGTATAAGGTTTTTGAAGCTGTCCTCTCTTCAACAACTCTCCTTGATTCTGCAACAAAAGCTTCACTCTCTCGATTGGGGCTGCAGCGCTTTTGGCCACTATGGCTGCGGCCCCTCCCATGACGAAATCTGCCGAGAATTTCTCGGAATGTCTTGCCATGGACGACCCTCTCTCCGCGTTCAATCCTACGGAGTGTCATCATCACTGGCATCAATGGAGGATGATAATAATGTAAACAAGAATAGCTTCTCTTCTTTTTTTCATTAATATTATTAAAAAAAAAAAAAAAAAAAAAGTTCACCTGGGTCATCGCCAACTCCATGGATATGAAGGGGGAATCTGCTTCACCCGCTTCTTTTTATTTAATTAAGAAAATAACATATAATAATATATATATATATATATGTTAGTTTTTTGATTAATTGTTGTCCCACATCGGATGTATACCAAAGATGTGTAGGATCTTATTAGTATAAATAGGTCCCTTGCCTTTGGGTTACAATTGCACCTTAACAACCTACAATAAAATAAATATATATGTTTTAAATAAATAAAAAAAAAAGGTTGTACCCATTTGATAGATACCAACTGAAGATAAATTAGCAGATTGGACTTAATTGAGAGGTTTGACTCATCAAATCCGCTATTTAGCTTGTTTGGTAAATAGCTTATTTGATAAATTTTTTGGACCCAAAACTCTAATTTAGAAAATGTTTGTTTGGTAAATAGCTTATTTGATAAGCTTTTTGGACTCAAAACTCTAATTTAGAAAAAGCTCATTAGAGTAGCGTTTTGGGATAGAAGATTCACAAAAATCATTTACTTGGAACTTTTTAATTTGTATTATTTACTTGAAAAATCATTTATGGTGCAAATAAATAATCATTTATTCAACAGCTTACTTGGAGCGTTTATGGTGCTAATAAATAATAATATGTCATTCATATAATTAATTTATCTATAAAAATGGAAAATTCATAACTTCTTCATCAAGTGTTCGTAAATTTAAAAAATATATATATATATATATATATATATTTATAAATTACCAACTGAAGAATATTAAATGTTTTAATATATTATTATTAAAAAATACACCCTAAATAATAAAAGTGAATCGCTATTTACCGCCCCCTTTTAATACTTATCGCTCCCCCCTCCAATTACGTTTTTGCCCTTCACACTATATCTCTACTTTCTCTCTCTACTCTTTCCCTCTCGACTTTTTACGGCTCTTTTGACCGTCAAAAAATTTTGAAAAAATCAAAAAAAAATACTATGACATCGGCAAGACATTGAAGATTGACTATGTATTTTTTTATATTTTTTTACTTTGTAAATAATTTTTAATTATTTTTTTATTTTTATTTTGCGCGTCCGGACGAAATTTCCGGACGCACCATGGGGTGTCCGGACGGACCGGACGCACCATGGTGTGTCCGGTTTGTCCGTCCGGACGCGCAAAAAAAAAATAAAAAAAATTAAAAATTATTTACAAAGTAAAAAAATATAAAAAAAAATACATAGTCAATCTTTAATGTCTTGCCGATATCATGGTATTTTTTTCGGATTTTTTCAAAAAAAATTTGACGGTCAAAAGAGCCGTAAAAAGTCGAGAGGGAAAGAGTAGAGAGATAGTGTGAAGGGCAAAAACGTAATTGAGGGGGGCGGTGAGTAGTAAAAGGGGGCGGTAAATAGTAATGCCCTAAATAAAATGTCTTTATCAAACAGCTATAAGCTTTCAGCTATTTACCAAGCCCTAATTTAAAAACCGCTAATGCTTTATCCGCTGGTCAAATCAGCTCATATAATCTGTTATCCGCTATCCGCTGATACAATGGCTATTCGTTATCCGCTATCGCTGATAGCCAAACAAGGCCAAGAACTGCTCAACTTATTATAATAGTAGAAAGCTTTGCCAAATTAATAATACAACCACAAAAACCAGCTAGCGGGATGGGCCAGCCCGCCAAAACTCCACTTTTGATGGACGGGGCGCTCAACCTAACTGCAATCCGAGCTATGGATTAGCATATTGGCCCACCATTTCTCTATTAATTCAAATTTGTTGAGTCTAAGCGGCAGAGTCGCGCGTTTTGAAATCATGTGTGTCAAAATATCATGTTTTGCATTTAGGTTCGGATAAAAAATTTAAAAACAAAATTGGATTAGAATCAACTATAAAAAATTATTACATCTTATATTATTGTCTCCCATAAATCTCTCTTTCATTACCATAAATTTATTGGCTCCAATAAATTTGTGTATTAACTCTATTATGTTGTTAGAGGAGTATATTCCTAAGATAATTTCGAAAAATTTGTACGTTGTAATTTTAAATGGATTTTTGACTAATTCAGTTTTGGATACTTGTTCTAATTGAGTGCAAGAAATGTTTAATTTTTAGCTATTAATTAATCTTTTTTTACATGTATTACTTTTTTATATTTTATACCATTGAAAATACATTTTATGTCATTCTTTAATATTCACAATCTTATCAATGTTTTACAAAACATCTATTAACAAAAATCATATCACTACAACAAAAATCATATCAATGTTTCATATCAATGAATATGAAAAATATTCAAAAACTTATGTCTCGACTTAAATGAAGCATGTATAAAGTTTAAATGTTATTATGATGTTGTAAATAAAAATAAGAATGAATATCATAATTAAAAATTAAAAAAATTATATTTCCTAAATTTAGAAAATAATATATTTGTATATATTAATTTATATTTTAAATTATCAAATATTATAAATGTAAAATACTTAATATTAATATGAGAAATCAATCACTACAATACAATAAGGCATTTAAGAAAATAAAAAACTACAAAAATCGAAATCAAATTTATGGTGTTGTAGATATCATTCCCTTTGGACATATTTAATTTGATAAATATAATAAACACTTATTACTTTAACAAATTAAGTGTAGAACACGGTTTCATGTTAAATAATGCCACTTTGTACTTCTTTATTTCTTTTATGGTTTCGGCAAAAAAAAAATACTTTTTTATTTCTTATAATTTACCAAATAAGAATATAATTATTTTATTATTTTTTTTCTTATAAAGTATCATTTTTTAAGTACCGTGTAGTACACGAGTATCGTACTAGTTAAAGAAAAATTAAATTCTAAATAATAATAAAGTTACACGACAAATGATAACATTTACAATTCTGATCGTATTTCATATTTTGGATTCCAAAATAAACCAATAGCCAAATTTTACACAATATTTTATTGTGTTGTTGGAAGATTGATAAGATTCATCATCAATACATGATCACATGAACAAAGAAAGGAAAAACTTGCCGCTGTATTGGATGAATGAAAATGAACGGAGACATAGGCTATGTTTGGTAAAATTAGCTGATAAGTTAGCTGATAGCTGATAAGTTAGCTGATAGCTTATCTATAATTTTCGACTTATAGTTTATGACTTATAGCTGAAAAGTTAGCTTATACGATAAAAGTGTTTGGTAAAATTAGCTGATAAGTTAGCTGGAATAAAAAAATTCAACTAGCTTATTTGAAAAGTTACCCAAAGAAGTTTATCAAATAAGCTCGTCCTACCAAACGGAGTTTATTTAAATACAGGGAGCTTATAAGCTAACCAAATAAGCTATAAGCTAGCTTATTGGTCAACCAAACATAGCCTTAGAGTTTACATGGTGTGTAAATATATTGAGCAAACATAACTAAAGGTGCTATCCACTAAATGACTGTTCGATATTTGGTGTCAAATTACACGGGAATCCTACGAACTGATATGTATTTTCAGTTCTTACAAATAATCTAAAAATAGAAAATTACAATTGAACTGAAAAATAAATTACAACTGAAAAACGGAAATATTTTATAGCCGAGGCGAGTAAAACTCTTTCCGCAAGAAGAATACGCCCCGTGTGGCAGCTAACGGTTTAGGCGTAACTTCCCCAAAGATACAACGGCAAACGTCTCTAAATCTGTAGCACACCAGATTTACGAGCTCCGGCGAAAGGGAACGGAGTCGAGGATTGAGCACTTAAAAATAAAAGGAATATTTTGAAACAAATAAAAATATCACTTGTTTCTTCACTTTTGATATTTTTATATCCGATATTTGGACATAAATCTATCTTTTCTTTCCTTTCTCTTTCTTTCCTCTATTTTTCTTTCTTCTTTTGTGCCTTATTTTCGGTGTCTTCTGCTGTGTTGAGTCCTCACATATTTATAGATGGAGTGTAGCAGTGTAGCAATGGACAGACTTTTCACATGCGTAGCAATAATAAAGTGTTTAAAGGATGAGTTGGAAGATGCCATTAATGAGGTGCTGATGCCATTCATTAATTGATACTCACATGTGACATGATACCACTAATGAGGTGGTCATGCCAATAATTGATACTCAC